ACACTTGCATCTCCTGTGAGGATTCGGCCCAGATGTTTCACTAACGTGGTTTCTGTTTTGCCTGTGCAAGCATACGTGTTGTTCCTCAGCTGTTCAGATTGGCTTGTGTGTTCTTTGCGGCTATGCACACATTTACTTTAGAATACATTTACTTCTCTATAAAGTCCCGGGGCTTTGATCAGCAGAACGGTGCCGTTTGCTCAGGGCCTGTGAGGAGACGTTTACGTCATTCTTGATTTTGTCAATGTAGATCCTGGGACAACGGTTGTCACTTTAAAACCATTCTACAGCCCTCACGGTGTCCAAAGTACACTCACAACTCCCACACACGTTGGCAGTCTGCTGTTGAGAAATCAGCCTACATCCTTTAAAAGTTTTTATTTTGTTTTGTTTTTTTACTTGTGTCTGTTGGCAGTAAAACTGTTTTTTGCTGGTTCTTAAACCCCATCTGACAGTCTCTTTGAAAAAAAAGTTGCAGCACTCTTGTTTTTTTTTTTCACAGATTTTTGCTAAATTCAGACGCTGCTTTGGCAATTGTGAGGTTTTTCTCCAGAATCTTAAGTATAGATTTAAGAAGTTGCAGTTGGTAAATGTGCCAGTTTGGTTCTACTTACCCTATTTAAATCCACACAGCAGATTTTGTGCATGATCGGTGTATAAAATACTAATGAATGGTAATGCTTGGCTAATTTTTTTATGAGCTTAAATCTATAGTATATTGCCAAAAGTTCAGTTTTTACTTGCACATGAACTTTAATTATATTCCAATCTTTATCTGTATGGTTTAATGTGGATTCGGGCCATACTTTGAGTCTGCAACTGTTTTTTTTTTTTTTTTTTTTTACAAGGTTTAGAGTTGTGTTTATGTGAATTTTTGAATATTCTTATAGAAGTGCATTTGTCAGGCACTGATGTTGGATGAGAAAATCTGACCTGCAGTCACCACTTTATTTCATCCAAAAGGTGTTTTATTGGGTTGAGCTCAGGACTAGTCAATTTCCAGTCAATTTCCTCCACACCAAACTTGCTTATCTATTTCTTTATTGACCTTGATTTGTACACAGTGTTGCCAGATATAGCTGACTTTGTTTTAGCCAAAAACTTGTCCAAAGCCCCAAATATTAGATTAATATTTTATTTTATTTGAATTTATTTAATTCGAAATTAACCTAGTTACTTTAACTGTTATATACAGTTGAAGTCAGAGTTATTAATTTGAATTAATTTTTAATTTTAATTTTAATTTTGACCTTAAAATGATTTTTAAAAATTTATCTGCTTTTGTTCTAGCTGAAATAAAACAAATAAGACTTTTTTTCCAGAAGAAAAAATATTATCAGACATACTGTGAAAATTAACAGATCAAACATAATTTGAAAAAAAAATAAATAAAAAAAATAAAATAAATATATATTTATATATATATATATATATATATATATATATATATATATATATATATATATATATATATATATATATATATATATATAGCCCATCGAGTTGTGTGTAAATGTGTATAAATTTATATTTATTCAGTTTTTTTATTTATTTACGTGGAATTACTGACTAATATGAAAATATTCAGATGATTTACCTACAATACAGCTTGTAAAGTAATGATTTCTGTGTATTAGTAAATATACGGTAGATATATTTTATGATAGACAAAAAAATTAATTTTTCTAATTGGATTTGCATTGTAAACATTAAATAAAAGTGAATTTTTGTATTTTTTATTTAACATATTAAATGTTAAGTTACAATACACAGAAGTTACGCAGAATTAACAAAAAAAAAACAATGTCTATAGTCAAGGTTTTTAGCCCCCTACAGAAATTACTACAGAACAAACCACAGATGTTCAAAGACAGCATGTGTGTGTGCAGGAAATGAAAATATTCGAAATATATATTGTAAGAATGGGTTTTAAACTACAGCGGTTCGAACTGTAGTTCTGCCGAGTGACTAAAAAGTTATCAGTATGTTGGTAAAAAAAAAATGTACATCTCTAGTCAAACCATACTTCTGATATCTCATACCAAAAACGGAAATAAGGGCAGTATTAATAGCTATAAATGTGGGAGAGCGTTGATATTATGTGATTGTATTGTAATGCAATATGGAACAATTAAATGTTGATGTTAAATCAAAAGTAATTCACAAATACTTGAAAATAAAATGATTTAATGACAATAACTCTCTATGGTTACAGCTGAATTAATTACAAAATAACTGTATAAAATGATAAAATATGAAATGATGAAAACATATTATATAAATTGTACCCAGCTTAAATGTAAAATTAAAGTTACCAGAATTAGAAGGAGAGATACAGGGGGAGGGAGAGAGAGAGACAAAGAGAACAGGCCCAGAAGTTAGCCTGATTGCAGTAGAGTCAGAGAAGATAGACTCCAGAGGAGGAGAGGAGCAGAGCAGAAAGCACAGAAACGTAAAAGAGAGGGCAGGAAAAGAGGCAGAGCTCGAGTTTACCACCTATTTTGTATCTTTCCTGACCATGTGACTAAAGCATAAATGCTGAGACATTCAAACTGACCAATCAACATGTGACCACATCATAAAACCCCCAAAGTCCACACAACAGGCTGTGATCTTATCAGTATCTGCCTTTGTAGTCAGTATGGACCTTCTTGAGTCAAAAAGCATGTTTTGTCATATAAACAAATGCATATGATAATTCAGCCTCTTACAATATTAATGGTCATGAAGCTATAGTATCTTGGCATTCATCCAACTAAAACGGTTTCTGAAATTAGAAATGTAGGGTAGTGTATGATTTTGACTGAATCGTTGAAAGTTGGTGTTGCTAACAAAACGAAGGAAGATTTGAATGCGACTTTGCCCTCAGAACTACCGTCTAGCGCAGTGGTTCTCGAATTTTTTTCATCAAGTACCACCTCAGAAAAAAATTGTCTCCCCAAGTACCACCAAAATGAGCAGTATTGAAATGAAGTAGCGTAGTAGGCCCAGTAAAGCAGCTACAACTCTGCACAGTTAAAAAAACGTGGCAGATTACCTCAGAAATATAGGCTATAAGTCATATATGGAATACTATATACATATTTTTTGCTAAATTTTGAAATATGTAGCATATACATGACATATTTTATTCCTCCGCGTACCACTAGAAGGAAGCCTGCGTACCACTAGTGGTACACGTACCTTAGTTTGAGAACCACTGGTCTAGCGGAATCACTGTTGCCCCCTGTGGCAAGGGGGCGTGGCCGAGAGCCATGGGAAGGGAGTGAGGCCACCGCGTAAGTGGATACACCTGAGGTGCGCACCTGCCTCGGAGGACCGGGCCCGGACATATTTTACTTTTGCTTTCAGTTTGAAGGCAGTCTCCGTGAGGAGATGCCATCCGTTTGTTTTGGTTTAGACAACAGTCTCCGTGAGGAGCTGCCGTCATTGTTATTAATAAATAATTTAAACCTGCGTCGGTTCTCCGCCTCCTTCTTCCCAGCGGCCAAAGGGCCGTGAACTTCATTACACCCCCACTGTTGAATGTTTTCAGATGCCTGATGCTGACAAGAACGAGGAGCTAAATGTTACCAATGGAATCATATCATATCATATCATATAACATAAACCACTGTTTATCGTGAAACAAGAAATTCACTGATACAGTACATTACAGATAAATACTAAGTGTAAAAGTTATTTTTATAAAAGTTAATATTATCTTGGGAACTATTTGAAACAACTTAAATTTCTACAAAATAAAATTCTATGATGATGATACGGTACAATACTTTGATTGTGTTTGCTCTATAGCATAAACTACACTCACACATTCCTTGTTTAGCTACTTATGCAGACTGAAAAATAAACAACTGCTTCAGAACTTGGGTGTGTTCAAATGCGTCCAAATGTCATATGTCATCAAGTTATGTTTATAGAACCACATGACACTTGTTATTACACATGAATTTTAAAAAATAAAAGTAAAAGCATTTAAAAAATCCACAGGAAAATGTTGAGAGAACTAGCAGTGAATTAGTCCTCCAGGTTTTGAGGTCACTACAGCAGCACTCTTTCAGCTCTGCTTAATAATGGATGCCTCTAGTATGTGTACATTTTTAAGCACATATACACTAAGTCCACTGAAGCGTAGTCATTCTGGAAGCACTTTCCAGAACCAATCGAGTATGACATCATCCTTCTTGAATCACTGATTCCTGTTACCCTGTTTGACTCCAGAATTAAGTGTCTCATTATAAGTCAATTTTAAATTGGTCTGTCTCTGTGCACCCAGTGCCCGTTCCTAACATCTTTTCATGCCAAAATGGTGGTAAACGCTTCTCTTTGCATTCCTCATAGATCATTATGTCATGTGGTTAATTCCCGCCTGTAGATGTATGTCTTTAGCTCGGCAGAAGGGGGGAAGGTGATTGTGCCATAGACTGTCAGCAGCAGACAGTTATTACGCACAAATGCCCCCATCTACTCTAGCGAGATTGAAACTAGCACGGCTAAGTCAAGTGGAACGGAGGGGAGGCAGGAACCAAGAATCTGGAGCAACGGCACGTTGGGGGGAACTTAAAATGAACACACTTGGTGCTGTCATCTCCTCCGAGGGAGTCAATTAAGCAGCACACTCAGTATTTCACACCCCCGGTAGCCGAGCGTGAATGTGTGTCGCTGTGGCGCACCTCTCGACGATGTGACAGCACGCTGGAGAGAACGGCCCAACGTCCAGATATGCATCTGTAATTATGCGCCTTAGAGAATACTCCAGAAAGAAAGGAAGATATTTCCACCAAGATATTAAACAAACATTAAGAGAAAGATTATATGCAGTGGAACAAATGATATTTAATTAGATTCATGTTTCACATGTTTATGGTTGATATGATTTTCAAACCTCCGGCAATACTGTAATTACCTTTTATTGTGGTTGATAATGTTTCTATGCATGTTTTACCGTCAGCAGTTAATGATATCTGTCTTTCTGCCTCTCTCTCTCTCTCTCCCTGTAGGGAACTAATGAGCAAATTGCAATAGAAGCATTGCATGTTGCAGTAACATCAGGATGAAGCTCTTCGCCGCTGAGTGTCAACAGGCCTCTTCTGTGCACCATTGAGGATACGCACACCCTCCTTTCCGCATATCCCGGAGTCAGTGGGGTGGCCAGAAAGTATTTGCTCTTGTCCATTTCATAACCGTTCCCCATCACTGGGGCAGCGTTCACCCCAGCCGAAGCATGTCATCGGTGGACGTGGCCCGATCACGGCGGGAGACGGTTCGCTCCTGTCCACGACGCATATCTGACACTTGCCTGGTGTGGCTGCTGGGCTTGGCGCTGCGCCTTGCGCTATCCTCCTGCCAACGGGCAGACCTCACCGCCGCCAAGCACCCTATGGTCACCACAGGCTACGGGAAGCTTCGGGGAGTACGCAAGGAGCTGAACAATGAGATTCTAGGCCCGGTCGAGCAGTACTTGGGTGTCCCCTACGCCACCCCGCCAGTGGGCGAGAGACGCTTCCAACCCCCGGAGGCACCCGGCTCCTGGCAGGAGATCCGTAACGCTACTCAGTTTGCACCCGTTTGCCCGCAGAACATCCATGGGGTGCTGCCAGAGATCATGCTTCCCGTATGGTTCACTGACAACCTGGATGCAGCCGCTGCTTACGTACAGAACCAGAGCGAGGACTGCCTTTACCTCAATGTCTATGTTCCCACAGAGGATGGTAAGTTTATGAAGCATATTAAATAAGTGGTACATTTATGTTTCATTCCTATTCTCATTCAGCTTATATAAATTTTCACCAATACAAATAGCATTCCCATCATTCCCACTCTAGTTTTGGGAAGCGAATCACCTACTGTATATTCATTTTGTGGCATTCAATCTTTTTTATGGGATTTACTGCAGCAATGTGTGGTATAACATGTTTCTACAACATAAAAGAAAGAATCCATATCTTAGAATAAGACACTTTCTCTATGTGACCTGCGGACAGCCTTGGGATCCTTTTCAATTTGATCTTCTTAAAAAGAAGCTTATCTGTAGCATGGGATCACATCCAGAGTTTAAGTTAGATTGCTTGCATTTAGTGGATACAAAGAGGTAGTTGCCAGCCTAGTTCTGAGAATCTAATTACCTATATTTATCTTATGCCATTTAGTACTTTACAGTACATACTATTGCAGTGAGTGGTATAAAAGGTTCATGGAACCTAAAACAAAGGATTCAAACTTATTTACCAACATTAGATCTCAAAATAAGAGACTTTTCCATTTAACCTGTTCTCCAGATAACCTTGGGATCCTTCTCTTTTATTTCTTCTAGAAACAAGCAAATCTGTTGCTTGGGATCACATGCAGGGTTTAAGTTAGATTACTTGCATTTAGTTCATAGAAAACAGTTGTTGCCTGAGCAAAAGGAAGCGAGAACTCCTGTGAGCACAAGAGATATTTAACATGCTCCAGTCAGTGATTGTTGGTGAAACTGCATGGGCAACAATCTGAGCATGTGCTAAAGTCTCTGATAAATGGGCCTCACTGCAGTTTGTAAATGGGTTGTGCAGAGACTGCTGGGTAATGTCTCACTGTGCCAGCTCTCAAAATGGGTTGTCATAGTCATGGGAGTGTGGCAGGCAAAGTGTGTTTGTTCGAAAGATGAAAGCATTTCAACGATGAAACCATATACACATGAGGTCTCCTAATGCTAATAGCATTTTTTGCGTTTTAGCAATTCTGTGTACTCTTTGAGTGTGTTAATGTGCCTGTCCATTACAGTCAGTCAGTAAATCAGTCTTCCTTAATTTGAAGATATACATTCACTAAGTGCTGTAGATTGCAGTTGGATGATGCATCCATTGCTGGAGCGAATCTAGGATTTCAGTCTTCGAGCAGCTCAAATGGTGTGGCTCAGAGAGCGATCGAAAGTTTAAATCTTGCTGGAATAAATTCAATTAGGTTGTCAAGTTTATGTAAATCAGACAATGACATGTTTGTTCGCTTTTCGTTTTGTGATTTCACTGGAACAAGAGTGCACAGAAGAAAAATGGAGCAGTTATTATTGTTCAATTTTCAGCATAACTAAGTGCTAAGTTATGCTTCATTTAATTATGAGTAATGTATTTAGGAAGCATGTCTCTTTTTTCTCTCCATTAAGGGTGTGTTCACTTTTCTAGTTTGGTTTTCTTAGTTATTTTAAAGCAAAAACAAACAAAAATAAGATATTAACATTTGGTTCACTTATTCACATTGTTATGTTTAAAGAACAAATCACTAACTTTAACAAAAACAAATCAGGATACATTTACTAGAGAAGAGAAATATTTTCTCTTATTCAAAATGTGGACCTTTTTGCAGTTATTCTCCTGCATTTTAGTGACATTTTAGCTGGATTAGCCTGTTAGGTCGTCATCATAATGACACATTTAAAGTACCAAATTTTTTCTAAAGTGTTTCCTAAAGATTTGGAATAAAGAAAAATGAATAAATACTCATTTTTAAAATACAAATTTATTAGATCATAAATCATTAGAAAAAAATAGGAATATGTCGAAGTTTTAAATTAAAAACTGTAGACTATTTTAGCTTTAGCCTACAAACTGGCTACAACATTTAACTGTCCTAAGTCAGAATTTGACTATTTGAATAATTAAAAAAAAATTAAACATAATAATAATAAAGGAGCTTCACAATTTTTCTAGCTTAATTTTCAAATGAATTTTAATACAGGATTCTGCTTGGTCTTACAGCCTTTTTCAATGGATTAATTTCACTATTTATGATGACATAGCAGTCAAAATAAGACAAATGAGCTTATGAATGGGACAAATTCTGGACCTTTGTCATGGAGGGGTGGGTTTTTTCAATTCAATTCAATTCAGCTTTATTTGTATAGCGCTTTTACAATGTAGATTGTGTCAAAGCAGCTTCACATAAATGGTCATAGTAATTGGAACAGTGTGGTTCAGGTTTTAGTGTTTAAGTTCAGTTCAGTTCAGTTTAGCTCTGTTCAGTGTGATTTAATAATTACTGAGAGTTCAAACACTGAAGAGCAAATTCATCGATGCGTAGCTCTACCAATCCTGAACCATGCGAGGCAGTGGCGACAGCGGAGAGAAATAGTTATGCCAGAATAGTTTTTTCTACCACCTGAACCCCCCTGGCTATGGGCCTGTAAAATTACCATGAATAAGGTTCAAAATTGGATAATTTTGACTCCACTTTACCACCACTTTTTTCAGGTTGGAGCTGGAATTCATGTATATGCTGCGATGTGAGTTCAGTGTACAGCGTGCATCGCATTATCAGACTATTGTTGTTGACATCTTGGAATGAAAATAGACAGAACTTGAGGCTGGGTGACCTGTTCCGATAGACTCACTACACAGACAGCATGATCGTCCTTCTCGGAACCGCAGATGGCCATGGTCTCCCTCGTCAGGCATCATTCAACAAAGGCGCGCTGCCTCGCGCGCCCTTACGGAAAGCAGGAGACGCATCTCTATAGCAACCTATCGCGACACAACCTCTCCAATGAAGCACCTCGTGATATTTGCAAACAAAACATATGGATCATTTTTATTATCATTTGACAGTAATGGAGGAGCGCCGCGAAATGTAGCGAAGTAAGAGGATAGATTTTTCTCTAATAATTTACTTAGTAAAAGTACACATATTTAAATGCACTCAAAAAGTACTTGTTACCCAATAATTTTACTCAAGTAAATTAAACGAAGTAAATGTATCTCGTTACTACCAAGCTCTGCTGAAAAAGGATACAATCTGTGACTCAATAACTGAATTGTGATCCAAACCAAACATTTCGATGGCTCAGAGGTTAGCAATGTCGCCTCACAGCAAGAAGGTCGCTGATTTGAGTCCAGGCTGGGCCAGTTGGCATTTCTGTGTGGAGTTTGCATGTTCTCCCCATGTTGGTGTGGGTTTCCTCCAGGTGCTCCAGTTTCCCCCACAGTCCGAAGACATACTGCATTGGTAAATTGACTGAGCAAAAATTGCCCGTAGTGAATGGGTGTGTGTGTGAATGAATGTGTATGGATGTTTCCCAGTACTGGGTTGTGGCTGGAAGGGCATCCGCTGCCTAAAACATATGCCAGAATAGTTGGTGGTTCATTCTGCTGTGGCAACCTCTGAAATAGAGACTAAGCTGAAAGTGATGGCCCAAAGGTTTTGTGAACCACCAATCATTACTTAAACTTACATAAACTAGATATCCTTCAGCATTCTGTCATTTTTATGGTTACATCATTTGACATTGTACTGTTTATTTATTTAATTTTTATTTTTATTTTTTTTGGGGTTTTTTTAGATTCAGGGTGCATTGTTTCAGCTAAAGCACACCTGACTTCATACCATCTTTTAATGGGTCTCGATCTGCTTGTCTGATGACCCATACAAGCATTTACACCACAGTTTATTTTAATCCAACCAGACCTAGTGTGAACGCAACCTTAATCTTATTCAGTTCTAAGAGAAAAAGGTGCTACATTAAAATGTCTTTTCTTTCCTACCAGACAGTTCTTCAACCATAGTTCCACATGCGAAAACATTAACAAGAATCAATGAGATATATAATTCGTAATTAATCTAAATCTAGGAAAGTTCAAGCGCATTAAACATAGAAATATCCAGAAGTCCATGTGTTATTTGCATGAGTTCAAAGAATCAGCTTCAGTGAGCAGAAATAGATTTTTCCCCCTAATAAGAGATAATAAGCAAATCTGGGGCACATAACAAGAGAAGATATTTTTCATAATTAAGGAGATGAATTGCATGTACACACAGGGGAATCTGTGAGCATGTGTTTCATGTGTACACACACGTTGCAATATTTTTTTTGGCATAAAGTAATGCAGTGGATCTGCAGGATGCATGCAAAGGTATGAATGCAGATGGCTTTTCTATGCCATTTTTGGAGAGTTAAAGGGATTGTTCAAACAAAAATAAAAATTTATTCCAACCCAGGCTCATTATTAATACGTAATCGTGTATACATTTCTGGACAGTGCGGAATATGTCCCAGAAGCTACTTTTTAGCAGTTTTTGTTTTTGCAAATCCACCAGAAATCTCTGTGTACACTTTTTCAGATCTCAAGTTTCTCTCACGAGTGCCATTTGCACATGCTGTTCTCTCATAAATCCACCAGAGGCCGCTGTTGAATGACTGACTGACTGACTGACTGACCGACTGACCAATATCCCAACCAACATTCTTCCCTAAACCCAATCGATTGTGTTTTCAAAAGCACCAATTTACCCGATCACCCCCTTCCCTAAAACCAACCGACAGTGTTTAGAAAAAGAATAGCCCTCGCAGCCATCTGATTTTTACCACATTCTCAGATTTAAACCACATTGTCAGCTTGTTATTTACTTGTTTATTTTATATTTAGCCTTTTTGTTTTGTTTTCCTCACAAATTCAAAGACATTTGGTATAGGTGAATTGGATAGGTTAAATTGTCCGCAGTGTATGTGTGTGAATGAGTGTGTATGGATATTTCCCAGTGTTGGCTTGCAGCTGGAAGGGCATCCGCTGCGTAAAACATATGCTGGATAAGTTGGCAGTTCATTCCGCTGTGGCGACCTCAGATTAATAAAGGGACTAAGCCAAAAACAAAATAAATGAATAGATTTGGAAGTCAATGGTTACCAATTTTCTGTTTTTTTCAAAATATCTTATTTTGCGTTTAACAGAATAAAGAAACTCAA